GAGAGAGAGAGAGAGTCGCCGTGGCGGATACTGTGAACGAAATGGCCATCTCGACTCCCCCCCTTTCCTCCACCCCTGTCGAGTCCGGGCGTATGCACCGGTTACTTATTATCCGTGATATATTGCGCGTGCGGTTTCAATGGTCAGCCGCGCTCTCCCGACGTCGGTATCAATTATCCCGGCGAATATTCACGCGGCAGCGCGCTGTTAATCTCGCGCCGCGTGATGCGACTCGCGAAACATCTCGCGTTTTACGGCGCCAACGACCGGCCGCGCCCGGTACGCCCTTTCGGCCTTGGATGATTTAACCGCTCTCCGCGGATAACAACCGCCTTTTCACCGCTCATAGGACGCGCGAGCCGGCAATGTCCTCGGCGGAACGCGCTCGGCTCGGTGACGAATCGACCGAGTATCTATTTTCCAAGAGGCTCGTAACTCGGGGATTTTTACGCGACGGATGATAACGTGGAAATACGCCATTGTATACGGCATTCCACTCCGGATAAATTGTCAGTAATGGCAATTTAAATGTTTCATGGACTCGCACCCCTTTGAATTTCTTTCAACTTTATAAATACAACCGGCTCTCTAAGCTCGTTTCCTTTCGCTAAAAAGATTGTATTATTGAAAATGTAAATTTTCGCGTGAAATAATTTTTGTAGGGATAGCACGAAGTAACGTATGCCACGCGTACGTATACTCGGCCATAGGAACGTAGCGGATATCCTATCCTTTTCCGACGATCATTCTTTTTCACTTCGTAATGCACTTTGGAGCGTGTCAGGTCAACGATTCCTCGTTGGGATGGGCCAGTACGTAATGGATTGACATTAAGTCCTTCGTTTCTGCCGTGGATGTATTTGTGGGCTAGGTAATCGTGGGGGTGCGAGCAACGGCGATCAATCAGATGACACCTGTTGCCCAACCTCCCTCGTTCGTTCGCCACCTTCACCAATTCGCAACAATTAGCAGCGATCCTTATCAAGGTTAGACTCTGGGGTGGTCGGGATACCTAAACCGACGAGTTATCGCGCGTCGCTCCCTACACATGGAAATTTCACACCTGCACGCGAGAACTAATCGCTGTTGTATTTTTCGCTAATTAAGAAGCAAATTAATTTGATATTACCTATCGTCGTTGCTCGCATCGCGAGCGTATACATATATTTATTATATGCGTTAATTATTGACCGTCTTCTAAAATTTTGAAAATGCCTATTAAATGTAAACAAGATAGCAGAGAATATTTAGAGGTATAAGAAAAATAACCGTTAACCGAAGGACGTAATGGCATTCATTCCACAGCCTGATAAAAACGTTGCCGTGTTTGTTCGCTGTATAATCAACGATGCGTCATTATTTTTTTCCGCAGTGAAACGCGAGAGGCATTTCGTGAAAGATGAAAATCAGACGCGTGGCTTCCGTGAAACAGTACGTAACGTCTCCACTCGCGCGGCATAATGAACGTAATCGGCGATCTAATAAATGCAACGGCGCCCGAGGAGAGCGCCGAGGAGAGTCCTTTTGCTATATAACAGGTGCAGATAATATCGCAGTACAGATGGTGCGAACCGTTGCGACACGGTGCGCGCTTCGTTCGGCGAACGCGGGCCGAACGAGCGAGGGCTTTCGCGTTAAAATTCATTGCGCGCCCGGGCCTCAGCGCTCTAATTAACGTAATCCTTTGCGAGCGCGCTCGTTATCGATGCATTGCTAAATATCAGCAACCGGCCGGTAATTTTCTATGCCACCATGGCAAAAGATGAGGCAATTCGCCAAAGACTAATCGCGCGGTTGCGCGGTTTTGCGCAAGTAGATCGCGATATTGCGTTATCATTTTCGTGATGTTATCGCTCGAAACACCGATAGGTAGACCGCCGAGTCGGGGAAAAGCAATGTTCAAAGATTCTTCCGAGATGAAAGTGATCGGGGGAGATTTTGTTCATAATGCGGAACATTGATCCTTCAAGAAACTATCATTTTTGAAAAAGTAGAGACCGTATCGATTGCAGGAAAACATGGAGCACTACTAAGGGCGGTCTAAGGGAGAGAAAGGGAAAGAGAGAGAGAGAGAGAGAGAGAGAGAGGAGGAGAGAGAGAGAGAGAGGGAGAGGACGAGAGAGTCTTTTATGGGCAGAGGTTGCCGGGAAAATAGAGAAGCGAGTGGATGAGAACGAAGTTCGTACGACGTAACCCCAACATTTTCCTGACGCTACAATGTTTCCCTTCATGCTCGATTCTCCGCTCTTGTTCTTCTCTTTCCCTTCTCTTTGCCTCTTTCCCTCTTTTCTTCTCTTTCCCCTACCTTTCCGGTACTTCATCTAATCATTGAGTGCGCCCTTTCTTCTGTACTTTTCCCCGTAGCGACTCTCGTTGCGATCTGCGGCGCGAGACGATGCGAACTCGACGATTTCCAACGCAGATTTCACGACTTGCTTTACTTCTTCCATCTATATAATTAAGTTTGCTTAAAGCTGATAAATTACAAACAAGTGTCGCTGACGTTACCGAGGAAGAAAATGCCATTTGTCGTGCGTGTGATACAAATTATCGGTTTTTTTACAGCACGTTACGTATCGATCGTTGAAACGTGTGTGTTTCTTAACAATCAAATATTTTCGTAATCGCAATAATTTCTGCTGTTTGAATCTTGATTCAAGTCGCGTTCAATAGTTGTACCTCGTAAGAGTTAGACGGCCCACTCGCAATTCGGCGCGGATTTGCGAGTTCGCCGTTGAGGATTGCGAGTCTGTTGCCGGAAAATCATGCGATGGCTTTCGTTCGTGTTCGAGAGTGGGGAGAAGAAAGTCCCTCGATTCTTGACACGACGGGCATGCGGAAGGGGATCCTCCGCGAACGTGTACGCGAAACGACGCGTTCTCTTTCGCTCTTTCGATGGTTACGATGGCCTAAAGAGAAACCGGAGGTGGCGCCTTCTCGGAGGAGGGCTCGGTAGAATTATGAGGGTAGAGCGTGTCGGGGGTGCCACGTGGGAAGAAGCTATGCCTCCCCCTGGCGCCGTCAGATCGTTCCCCAACGGCCACTCCTGAACTAAACTGCTCCGCTACCTACCCTCAAGTGCCATCTCCCACTCCAAAGTTAAGCTTCCTTGCCGTTCGCTTTAAGTATGTGGATGTGTCGCAGTCGCATGCCGCTTAAGTCTCGGGATTGCGTGTACTTAGAAATTTAAGAACAAGAAGAACGAAACGAATCATTTATCAGGCGTCTTAGAAGCCGAAACGTTGAAACGTCAGAGAAAAGAAAGCCACGTCTTTCCGTCTTTTTTATCCTACAATTGTTTTTACAATGGCGCGAGCGATAATTTTAAAAGATGCGCATGTATCTTTCGAATAACGAGGTAATAGAGAGAGGTAATCGCAATCATAAATCATGGAGGTCATTCGAGCGCGTCTAGCGACTTTACGTCTCCAATGCGTCGTCGACAACGACGCTGAATGGTTCTTTATTGGTCGGAATTTATTTCTAACAAACCGATAGTAACCGCAGGAATATAATGGACGCGTCCGAACGCGTACGACGAGTATTACACAGGCCGGCTTCGATGATACAAGTTTGCGCCTCACCGCCCCCCCTCCCTCCCCCTCCCCCCCCCCGCGATCCCGTCACGGCCAGGAAAATCGTAGGCAGCTACCACGAGCGACGTTCCGAGAAAGCAGAAGATGGGTTCGGGTTCGTGCCACAGCTCTGGAACCACAAACTTTAATGTCGGCATTACTTTTATGCGCGACTTTATGCCAAGTATCCCATCAAATATATGCACTCCCGCACTCCCGCACTCCCGCACGTTTCCTAGGGTAGAGAGAGCACCCTTCTCCCTACTTACCCAATCCTGCCCCCCCCCCCCCGATCCCCGGTCCCGCGCCCGCGGCCGCGCGGCTAAATTATTGCGAATAAAACTTTATACTCAAATTACCTCTACGCCAACTTTATATACTCGCATTTCGCCGGGGCGCTGGGGCCGCCTAGCTTCTCCCGCCGCCGCCTGCCACTACCACCATCGCGTGGCGACGCGTTCTCCAACCTCCGACGTCGTTTCCCTCCGTCGGGGGTTGGTGACTGGGCGGATTTAAATTCTCCTCTCACGGATCGAGATTAATTTCTTCGGATCTCGCGCACCGGCGGCCGTCTCTGCGCGGTCGCCGTAGTTTAATCCTTTCGAAAACGTTACTCAGCTAGTTAACGTTGCAATAGGAATAGCTTTCTACCGATGTTACTAAAGATCAATGATCCAAGGACTAAGGGGAAGTACTCTTGATCGCCCACGGGC